CCCCAAAACCCCAAAACCCCAAAACCCCACTAGGTAAAAATAAATTTTATTTGGACTCATAGTTATTAATCTCTTAAATTATGTATTTAAAATGATGGAACGTGTAAGTATCAGAAACTTATATTCCTGACAATTTTACAAAAATCTTAGAAGTTTATTTTAGACAAGGGATCAATGTTCAATTCCTAAAGCATTCCAACAACCATTTCTTCGTTTATGTTCTTTCCAGCTCTTTAAAAAGTTTTGACAAAACTTTCTTTGTTTAGGTAGCCCTAACTAAAAACATCTAGGTATTTGAACAATTCAAAAAGATTATGTTCACTTAAATTACCTTCATCAATAGTGCAAGATAAAAATTCACTGTAGTTTATTTCTCCATTATTATCATAATCTACCCTCTTTATAATATTTTCTATATCTTCATCTGTCAATTCACCTTTATTTGACATTGAAAGAGCATTTTTGAGTTCACCAGGGCTGATAAGTCCGGAATAATCTCTATCAATAGCTCTGAAGGTTTTTTTACTGGTTTTTAACTCATTTTCATCCATCTAATTTACTAGTAAAAGTAACAGCTGTTGTTGAAGTTTCTTTGGATGGTTAAAATTTTGGAGTCTGTTGAGCACATCTTGGCATATCTCTACATTATCAGATGCACTCTTAAGCCATTTATGCTATAATCCTTTCTCAGCTGACATCCTTTTATCAGGTTAAGGGTGAAGCAGTTATGATATGAAATCTTTGGCTTCGTCTGAAATATATGACCATTATTTTTCTGGGAACTCAAAATCACAGCACCTTATTTTGTTAAATACGTCTACTTCGTTCCTGCCGTTGAAAGGAGGATTACCGCTTAGCAATATATAGGCGATTACTCCAACTGCCCACAAATCACACCTTTTATCATAAATGCCTTCAAGTACTTCTGGGCTTACATAGTATGGTGTCCCTAGTTTTGTCATCATTATCTTATTATCTATTCCTAGCAATTTAGAGAGGCCGAAATCTATTAGCTTTATATTGATTTCATTACTTCCTTTTGAATTCATAAATATTATATTTTCTGGTTTCAAATCTCTATGAGCGATATTTTTATCATGTAAATGCTTAATAGCAGAAAGAATTTGCTTGATGATAATAGAGGCATCACGTTCACTAAATTTCCCAATAGAAGTTAAATGTTCAAAAAGTTCTTCGCCATCACAAAGTTCCATGACAATGTGAAAGTATTTTTTATCTCTGTAAACCTGATAAAATTTGACGATATTTGGATGATCAACTTCCATCAAGATTAGTAACTCCTATTCAAGCATCTAGATCTCTTCTTCTATCTTTTCCCTAGGAATAGATTTTACTGCAACAGACTTGTAAGGATTAGATTTAGGACAAGCTAATCTTACAGTTCCAAAGTTACCACTCCCAATAAGTTTGCCCATTTTATATATGTTCTTGATATTTTCACTAACTATTCTTCTGACAACATCTGGAGTTTCAAGTGGCATACTTAATTGAGAAACAAACTATCTCTTTTATTATTCTAAACCTCTATCTTAGTTCATTTGAATATGATCATCTTCATTTTTAAAGAACTCATTATCTTCTTCTTCCTCCTTATTTTCATCATTATTTTCCTTTTCTAAAGCAAGCTTGCCTGATCTCTAGATCTAAGTATAATCCTTATACTCCCCTCTAAAGCTCTTCTTCTTTATTTTTGGTATATTATTTGCATCTTCTGTATCGCCCATTTAGTTTGGCCTCGAGCAGCACGCTACATTATTATTTCCCATAATATTTTCCACAAATAATTAATTTACTCTTTTTATTAATTTTACTTTTGGGGTTTTGGGGTTTTGGGGTTTTGGGG